GAGCAGGAAGTAGTGCAGGAAGACGGCCACGCACAGGCACAGCCAATCAGGCTGCAGGGACGCCAGCCAGCCGTCCAATAGGAAGACCAGGTTCAGGAAGAGCAGCGAGGTGCTCAGGTTCATCAGGATCTTAGAGGGATAGTCCCGCCGCAACTTCCTGCAGGAGAGAGGACACTTTAGAGGAGACACTATCGGGACAATTACAATCAGACCACCTGACAACCAGGAGGATAGGAAACAAGTGGAGAAGAGGAGAGGCAAGGAAAGGAAACGAGAGGACCTCAGAGCAGGAAGCAGATGTACGTTTAGAGAGAGGAGGGGAGAAGCTGTGATCTGATTGGACCTCAGAGCAGGAAGCAGATGCACGTCTAGAGAGAGGAGGGGAGAAGCTGTGATCTGATTGGACCTCAGAGCAGGAAGCAGATGCACGTCTAGAGAGAGTAGGGGAGAAGCTGTGATCTGATTGGACCTCAGAGCAGGAAGCAGATGTATGTTCAGAGAGAGGAGGGGAGAAGCTGTGATCTGATTGGACCTCAGAGCAGGAAGCAGATGCACGTCTAGAGAGAGTAGGGGAGAAGCTGTGATCTGATTGGACCTCAGAGCAGGAAGCAGATGTATGTTCAGAGAGAGGAGGGGAGAAGCTGTGATCTGATTGGACCTCAGAGCAGGAAGCAGATGCACGTCTAGAGAGAGTAGGGGAGAAGCTGTGATCTGATTGGACCTCAGAGCAGGAAGCAGACTCACTCGAAGGCGACGTAGGTGAGCAGCGTGGCGGCGGAGAAGATGGCGGAGATCCCGCAGCCGATGTAGGTGATGAAGGTCAGGATGCGATTATTCTGAGGGTCAGTGAACGCAGCGGCACCGGAGATATCCTGCAGAGAGAGAGCACTGTCAGGAAGAGACTACTCACCAGAGATCAATCAATCAATCAATTCAATACATGAATACATGGTTCATTGATAGTCGAAACGAGAGGAGAGGAAAGGAGAGGAGAGGAAAGGAGAGGAGAGGGAAGGAGAGGAGAGGAAAGGAGAGGAGAGGAGAGGAAAGTAGTGATGGGAATTACGGCTCTTTGAAGGGAGCCGGATCGGATGGCTCCGTTCCTTTCAAAGAGCCGTTCAAAAGAGCCGTTTTTTTAAAGGGGGCGGGGTCACTAGGTTTATAATAATCACCAGGATAATGATTGACTGTATTGCCAGACCTAATGTCAATAATCTGCATTGTAAACGTGACACAAGGTGGCGCCGTGTCCATGTCATTCATGTCAGTGAATGTACTTTGAATTGACCCTCTGTATGTGTTAAGTAAATAAAGTTGCCTTGAATGAAATTCACGCAACTCTTAACCTCTTAAGGACGATGGTCCACCCATTGGACCCCCCCCACCGGTTTTTTTCGAGACTGTGTCTCAGGGCTTCTTAACATTTATGAAACTATTAATGTGTAGCACCAGATTAACGGGAAGAATCTCAGCTAACTGAAGATATGAACAATTTTTACCAAAACAAAACACAATTTTGAATTAGCACTAAGCGAAAAAATGCTAACGCACTTTAGCACAGAACTCAAGATAAAAATACCCTTATTACTTATCGTAGCTGCACATACAATATAGCCGATTAAAGCTGAAACTCCACAGATTATATAGGTATAGTATCATCACTGAGCGATCCGAACTTGCGACAGGGGAAGCAAACACAGACATCACAACACGTACCTTTACGGAGCATTTACGGCAGATCATCTCACCGTAGCTGTCAATCTGATCAAAAGACGTGTTCAATGGCATTAAATCGTGAAAAAACGCGGCTGCATCTGTTGATCCATAGGTTGATAATGTACCTGTGCCTTTGAAAAAATTATTTATAATCCATAATTCGATTTTTATGTAAAGATCGGAGCAAAAAAGTTAGCTGCTAATGGTAGCCACCAGAGTGTATGCAGCTTCCGGTTTTGGTAACGCGTCACTCTCACTCCTTATTTGTTAACGTGTTGGTGTGTATATAACTTTCCCTCGATTCCATTGGCTCTAGCGGTTATAAAGAGATTTCATTGGCTCTAGCGGTTATAAAGAGATTTCATTCATCAAAATCGACCAAGAGGGGCCAGAGATAGGTCAAATCCACCCAAATGACCCCAGAAGTGGGTTTTCTTTTTGCTAAATCTCTCTAAAAAGGTCAAATTTAACTTGTTTTGCATCAATCTTGATACAGGGTACTTATTATATGTTGTACTTTGGATTCCTAAAGCTTTTAGTCTACTAACCCATCATCCAAGGGTAGTTTTCACTATAAGTAAAAAAGAATTTTTGGATGGACACTATAATTTACAGTTTTTTACTATGTAAAATCTGAATTTTCTTTAAAATAAAAAACATCTATATTGATTCTGACTTTTCTACATCCAACTCACAGGTTTATCATTACTTTGAGAAAAAAGATTATTAATTTAACCCTTTCAGAAGGGAAGATATGGTCATTTGTTCTGGGAATGTCATTTTC